CAACCTCTAAACGCCAAAAGACTTGGGCAGCTGGTCCAGAGAGATGACATTTGCAAACAGTTTCACTCCCCAGGGTCCACAGCCTTTTTAAAAACAGAGTTTGGGAGGTATTTGTTACACTTTCCAAAAACCCATCTTTCAGGTTTTCAACACTGCTGGCCCAAGCCCCTCACCAGTCAGAAGCAAAGCCAAAGTCTGATTACTGAAAACTGAAATGTATCCTTTTCACGGACAACAGAGTAGAACAACATCCTGAAGTTACGCCTTTCGATCTACTTACTACTTACTTACTAAAGAAGAGAATATAACTTGGAGCGAAACGTCCAAATAAGTCAAGGAGCCACAGCATGCTTGAATCCAGGCAAGTTGATGCTGGAAGAGTATGGGGAAATGATTCCAGGGAATTGCTTAATTACTGTTCCTCTGTTGAAAATCAGGATCGGAGGTCAGTTTCGCCCTACTGTATTTTAGGCTTCATCATATTTAAAATGCACTTCCCTGACCTCTACTTCACTCCATACACAAAAACTAATTTGACATAATCAGCTCTAGAAACCACAGAGTACTGTCTAGAAGAAAACGTCTTTATGGCATAGAGGTTGGAAAATGTATCACTGAAATGACATAAAGGACTCAGCTTACAAGAAATGAATTGATAAACTGGATTTCATCAAGAAACCGTATCTCCTTATCAAGAGATACCATGAGGAAAACTACAGAGAAGACTTTACGACCACTGGAATGCCTAAGCACAAAGAGACTAGCAAACCAAATGCTGGCAAAGATTTAGAGCAGCAGAATTTGTACACATCGCTTGTGGGAAAGTAAAATGCCACCAACAGCTCTTTGGAAAACCATTTGGAAATCTATACAATAATTCCATATACTCCCAATAGTGAAAACACAGGAAGCAACCGAAATGTCTCCTAAACGGTGAATGGGGGTGGAATAAACAATATTGTGTATTTAGGCAACGAATGCTGATTTAATCAGCAACATAAGAAATGAGCTATTGCAAAACCTTGGTGAATATTTAAAAAGTTATGCTCTGCCAAAGAATCCAGGCACAAAACTGTGATTCCATGAAGGTATGTAAAGTCCTAAAGCCAGCAAAAAGTAACTTACAGTGATAGATACTGGATCAGTGGTTGCCTGGGGGGTAGGGGTGGGGCGGGGAGACAGTGGAGGGACTTATTGCAATAGAGCACAAGAACACAAGGGAACTTTCTGGAGTGATGGAATATCCTATGTCTTGATGAGATACAGACACATGGGTGTATACAATTATAAACATTCGAACTTAAAATCCATATTTTATGTTGTATGTACATTATATTTCAAGTAAAAAAAAAATATATCGTACTTCCCCTCCCCACTCCCCAATCTTTAAAAGCATTTTGTTGTGGGGCACCTGGGTGGTTCAGTTGGTTGAGCATCCGACTTCGGCTCAGGTCATGATCTCACGGTTCGTGGGTTTGAGCATCACGTCAAGCCCCCCGTCCAGCCCCACCTCCAGCCCCACGTCGAGCCCAACCGGTTTCTGGGCTGACAGCTCAGAGCCTGGAGGCTGCTTGGGATTCTGTCTCCCTCTCTCTGCTCCTCCCCTACTCGCACTCTGTCTCTCTCTCAAAAATAAATAAAGATTTAAAAAAATTTTTTTAAAGCATTTCATTGCATGGGACCCTCCCCAGCCCTGGACTTTGCTTATTGTTGTAAGCACTAAGGTTTTTCCAAATTCTACCAGGGACAATCGGAAAACAGAACAGCATCTTTCAAATTGGGTCTGTCCTAGAAAATTTGGAATGGAAAACAGTGCCTACAAATCAAAACTAGGACAGACCACAAACTTTGTAAGTCTGGCTCCATAGGATACGCTTCAAAATAAAACAGAGGGAATCAGAGTTACCTGTTCCTTTTGTGTCCTGAGTTTATTTCTTTCCAGAACTGAATCCAGTTTCCTGCCTTCAGATTCGGCTGCAGCTCCTTCCTGACGTCCCCTGCTGGGAGTCCTAGTCGCAATGCCCCCCCACCCCTCTGGGAGTCTAGAGTCCTTCAGGACTGAGCAATGGATTTATACACCAAAGCCCACCCCCTTCTTGAGACACTAGAACCCACCCTCTTCCGCAGACATCCTCTTTTGGAATCTCATCAGAAAAAAAAAAAAAAGGAGAAACCGATCTTTGTGAGACACAGACAGGGAGTTAAACATATCAAAAACACTCACCTGAAGGTTAGTACTAAAATAGTCTAGGGGCACCTGAGAGGCTCAGTCAGTTAAGCGTCCAACTTTGGCTCAGGTCATGATCTCACAGATGGCGAGTTTGAGCCCCGCGTCTGTGCCGACAGCTCGGAGCCTGGAGCCTGCTTCGGATTCTGTGTCTCCCTCTCTCTCTCTCTCTCTCTCTCTGCCCTTGCCCCACTCACGCTCTGTCTCTTTCTGTCAAGAATAAATAAACGTTACGAAATAAAAATTAAAAAAGACAAAAAGAGAAAAAAATAGTCTAATTTAGTGTCTCTAAAGTTTTGTATTAAATGACTCAGACCCTCAGAAAACCAAGAAGCAGTACTCTCTACTCTCAGCCACTCATAATCCTTTATGTATCCCCACCCCCACTCCCCAAAAAAACCATAACAAAAACAAACACTAGGGCATCTTTGCTGAAATTAAGCAGCCCACACAGCTTCAAAAGGTGCGAATTAGGCCCATAGATTCAATATGCAGACCAGAATAGTTCTGCTTTTGGTCAAAACATGGCAAGAGTAGATACAAGTGATCTTTAAGAGACAGGCTTCAGATTCCATTTTGTCCTATATGGTGTCGTTCTGTTTTGCAAATGTGTGAAACATCTGCTGATGAATTACTCAGGCCTCTCCAGGATGTTTCTTCTCTGTTTGTCTGCGGTTAGATCAATCTAGAATCAGGTGTAGCTGGAGGGATAAAACTGGCAGACGGCTTACATGGCAAGTCAACTGACCACGTCTGGCCACTGAAATGCCGTGTGGGCAACTAGCCCAACACGTGTGGGTAGCTAGCTGTGTGGACCCGGCTAGGGAAAAAATTGTGCTGCAAGGAAAGACTATGCATAGTTTGAGCTATTTTTCAACTATATAAACTGTAGTAACCAATACCAATATGAAAAAAAAATTTTTGTTTACTTTTTTTAACTTGCATTCATTTTTGAGAGACAGAGAGAGACAGAGCATGAGCAGCAGAGAGGCAGAGAGAGAGACAGAGAATCTGAAGCAGGCTCCAGGCTCTGAGCTGTCAGCACAGAGCCTGATGCAGGGCTCGAACTCACAAACTGTGAGATCACGACCTGAGCTGATGTCAGCCGCTTAAGCTTAACCGACTGAGCCACCCAGGTGCCCCTAATATGAAATAATTCTGGACTACAGACACGCAAATGAATTCTATCCAATGAAGGGACAGACCTCTGCTCCCACCCCCATGGAAAACTGGTTTTACCTCTCAATATTGCCGATCTATAAATATACCCATTCTTCGGTTTTTTCTTTGATCTGGCCGTAACAGTATTACCAGTTTCCTTATTTATGAATTAATAAAACTTTTAACAAAAATTATCCTTTTCCAAAAATTATCTTTTCGTTCTTATTACCATTCATCATTATCTCCAGCCTATCCAATTTATTCCTCTGAATCTAAATGATTTGCTAATAGTTGTTAATTACTGAATATAGTATTTAATGTTTTGACCTCTCACTGCAGACCTTCCCAGCTTTAGGCTTCTCTTTTTCATTCCTCTCTCTCTCCAGGTTTGGTGGCCGGTGTGGTTCAGCAACAAGCGCATGACTTTGGAGTCTGAAGCTCAAGTTCCACCTCCCCCACCCTCCTCTCCTAACCCCACCCGTTTGTGGCATGTACTTACAACCTCCCTCAAGTCAGCTCTTAAAATGTGGATAACCACACCCACCTCCCACTGCTGTCTCAGGAACTGCTCAATCTGGTTCTCCGCACACATTAGTTGCTCAATAAAGCTTCCTTCCCATCTGCCTCCGGCAAGCCACAGAGCAAATTCAACCAGAATGAACACAGCTTGGCACTCATAGTTCAGGGAGAGTGACTTCAGAAAAGGTACACAGTAAATAACTTCACCTCAATTCATTTGAATATTTCTCCTTGAATTGGATTCACCATTACCCAACCTTGAGAAACCACTGAGGATCTCTGGCCAACAATGACTGAGCAAACTCGGTATTTTTGCCCTTTTCAGCTACTAAGAAGACACATTTGGAAGTTTGTTACGTTTGGGTCTATTTAAAAGATGTACCTTACTGAAAACACCCCTTTCTGCCTTAGGAAATACAAACGTGTTCCAGGCTTGGTGAGTACTTCCAGAAAACATTTCCTTCACCCCTTGCACACGTTAAGCACCCACGCCACAACCACAAGCCTTTTGCACATTTACAGCAGCAACACTGACTTGCCAACTAATTGCTGTGCATGTTCTTTCATGAATAAGGCCTCCTTTCCAGAAATATCATTGTAAGGTACGGTTGTGTTTTCCTTTAATTTCAATTAAGGTAGTCTCAGTAGAGGGCGGGGGTGGGGGGCGGAGAGGGCTCTGCCCTTCAAAGTTCCCGGCTGCTGCTTCCCTCACCGGGAGCCCTGTCTCCCTTCTTGGATTGGGATTTAGAATTCTGCGCTGAAGTTTCTTTTCGGTGAAAATCTGTGCACGCGGGTGTAACCATGGGGGATGCTGGCCCTTTCCCAGAGTCGTAGTCTTAGTCTGTTTTGCAGATGGCTGAAAGTGAGATTCTCGCCAGACCCACTTGGGCGAGCCTTCAGCACCGAGTTGGCAGGAGAGCGCAGGGGCGCGCAGCACGAGGCAGCCCGGGAATCCGGGCGAGTCCCAACCCGCCCGCTGCAGCGCGGAGACGCGTCCCGCCCGCGCGGCCGCCACCGGGGAGAAGGGGAGCGCTGCAACCTAGGGGTGATGGTGTTTGGGCCAGGAACTCGCCTCCCGCACAGGCAGTCTTACCTATAGGAGGGGGCTGTTGCTCGCCAAATCTCTCACATCCCGGGAGAACGAGCCCCCGGGAAGGGCCCCCTTCGGCCGGGAGGCCGTCCCTTTGGGTCCGGCCGGGAGCTGAAGGTAGGGGCGGGGGAGAGAGCCTGCCACACACGAAGCCCCGAGGCCCCGCCCCACGTTTTGCATATGCTAATTATAAGAGGAAACTCTGAGAAGTAAATCTGAGGTCTGAGGTCTGAGGGCCAGCTCATACCTGCTACCCTCTGTACCCCAAAAGAGCAACTTTTATAACAATAAAAGTATTATCCTGATACATCAGTGTGATAAATCAGGATGAACTGAGTACAGTGTGGATGTATTTACAGATAGATCCTTGCCTATAAAGCCATTTACGTTTCCCCAAATCTTGTGAGAGAGGAACAGCTAGGAAGCCCATTCTACAGATGAAGAAAGCGAGGCAGAAGGCAGTGGGAATAGTAAACGGAGACGTCTGGAATTTTGTCTGGGCATCCCGGCTGCAGAGCTAATGTTTATAATCACGGTGCTCTTTTATTTTGCTTTATTTTTCAAGGTTGTGAGATGGCGTGGTGTTCTTGCCCTTTGAGAATTTGAACAAATAGTTCAAATATTAAGTAGTTTTTGTTAAGCGGAGGTTGTTTTAAAAAGCAATATGAAGTTCTCGTTGATTAAAATGGAAAAGAAAATGTTTTTGTTATCTTTTGGAAGAAATGGAAAACCCTCCCCAAAGATTAATACTGTTCGATTTTAAGGACTACGACTGGAAACGAAATTGATTAAGAGTCCTCCAGGCGTTCTGGGTCACTGTCCTGTTGGCTTGGATTTTTCTATTCTCATCCTTCTATGATTTGTGGAAAATCGATTTATAAATTACCAAGATACACCTTGGGGATGGGAGTACCCTGCTCGCTGTGCAACAGAGTGCCCTTGTACATTGACTGCCAGGCCCTATCAGAGAACCCTGGAATTTTCTTAAAGGTCGAGGGTGTCATAATTTCCTCCCTACCTCTTGCCAAGAGAAGACCTCATTTTGGACCTTGAGTTTACCTCTGTGTTTCTCTGATAGCCCTTGGCCATAGTCTAAGTCACAGAGAGACGATGAAGAATTCATTCATTTGAAGGGACATAAACATATTTGCTGATTAGGTGACCTGAGGTCCAGACTTGGTTCTGTATTATCCAGTGGTGGGAGGGGTATGGTGAGGTCATAGGCGATAAGAGACTGGCCATGTTGATAACTGTTGACTTGGGTGGTGGTTCTTAGGAATTTATTATACTGTTCACCACTTCTGTTTATGTTTGGCATTTTCCATACCAAAAGCGTTAAAAAAATCATTTCTTCACGAAGAAGCTGTTTGTTGAGTATATATTATATGCCGGATGCTGTTATAGGTGCTTGAGATAGTCCGCCAGAGAATGAGAAATCTTTGCTTTGTAGAACGTACATTTCAGTTGTGCATGGGGTGAGGTAGAGAGGACAGCACAAGGTAAACAGGAGAAATTCCTGAATCTTATGGTATTTTAGAAAGTTTCAGAAAAGTTCAGAAAACCTGGGAGAGGAAAGTTTATTAGGGAGGATCAGGTGCTCAGTTGTGTCAAATGCCACTGGGATCCAAGGGAAAAACCCCATAGACAATGTCAACTTCTCACTTGGTCATCTCACCCAACAAATGAATGGAAAGTCTCTCATGTTGGTACTCAACATCATGGCGGCAATGATATTCATAAAAAGTTGACACAGGAGTGGAGAAAAGGCGACCCAAGAAACCTGACATAGGATGCTGTTTGGTAATGAACTCTCTCTTGCGTGCGCGCTCTCTCTTTCTCTCAGATATGAACTTTTGGAAGGCAAAGGCTTGCTTTTCTTTAGATCTCCGGTGCTGGCCTAAATACGTGGCCTAACACGGCACTTACGTATCTGCTGGATGAACGAGTGAGGAAAACGGACATGAAGCGATGGAGTGAAACAATGACCTACCATGTGGGGTGTCCAACACTTACAACCAGAATTCGGTTGCAAACACAGACATCGGGAGGTCATCTGTAGGAAAACACAGGAATTTCCCTCAATGAGACTGACAACCAAAAGTTGGGGCTCTACCCATCCACCCCCCCGATTTCTATCTTTGTTATAGAATCCATTATAAGACATTATAGGACTGATCATCCATTAGTTGATTAGCCGCTGTACTGGCCTCAGTCATGGGAAGGTACACATCTTTATAGAATGGAAAGACACATTAGAATAAGCAGATTTTTTTTTTTTATTAAATAAGAGTTGCCTTTTTTTTTTTTATAGAGACATAGAAATGGGAGGAAGTTAGTGAATGTACAATAGAAAAGTTGACCAAAAGTAATTTTTTGAAGAAAAAGAAATCTTGGCTATCATGGTTTCACTTTACCAAGCTTATGATATAAATCGATCTTTGACACGGGTGGCTGATGTCGCCACAATATAGGTGGTTATTCATCTTTCTTTCAAGTGGAGACGGGATTACACGGGTGACCGAGAGTATTTACGCGCTTCATGGTACCTTTTGGAAAACCCAGGGTGAAGAAACTGGTGTCGTTATGATACCACACTGGAGGGAAAGAGCCAGCCCTGAAACCTCAGAGCCCGAGGACAGCATGAGTAGCTCCAAGACATCCAAGGACACAGAACTGGAGCAGGCGGGCGGAAGGACGGAGGGAGGTCTTACGCAATGCGGGGAGCAGAGCCCGGGACAGCTCTTGCCCTGGAGGCAGAGCCGCCAGCCCGCCCGCCCGCCTAGCTGCAGCACTGCTTCTTGCAACAGCACTTCTGCTGACAACAGCACTTCTGCTGGCAGCAGCCCTTCCCGCAGCCA